AAAAAAGGGTCAATACAATTTACGTACTTAATTTATGAGTTAGTAGCGTAGTTTTCGCACAAGTTAACTGGTTTCACGTCGTAGCTGAAATTGGTTGACTCTTGCAAATTTAAAAAGGCAAGTTTAAAAAAGTCCATGTAATAATATATGAGTGTTTGAGAGCAAGAACATGTAGGAAACCATAGTGAATACCTAATAACGTCAAGGCCTAGAATTAAAAAAAAATAACTAAATTAATCCTATTCAGAAGAAAGTGAAAATTTAATAATTCTGTGACCTGTTCAATGAGAATTTTTATAATTTTAACATCGATAAGACCTATGTCATGTGATCTGACACGAAAAATTTTCTAATTTAGGTTATTAATAAGGAAATTACTATCTTTTATAAATTCTAAAATTGTTTCTTTGTAGTTTTTATTTAAAAAGATTATTTTTTTTTGTTATAATTATAATAAAGAGTATAAAAAATTTTTGCAAATACATTGTAAAAGGTTTAATATTGATAAAAGGTGATTTGATTCGAATAAATCAATACAATTGACTAAATAAATGGCTTAACTAGTGTTCAATATTGAAAGTCTGAGAGAGAATTGCAATAGAATTTTTCACCAGCAATTCTAACCAACAAAAAAATTTCATGAACTTATCAAAGGCCATCATCTCCCGTCATCTTAATTCAAAGAATTTCCCGTGATAAAATGAAAATCGATTGGAGCTTCGTTATTAAACCAGTCTTGAGTAGTAAATATTCGGGGTTTTGCCATAAAAATAACCCATTTTGTAAGTCATTTCATAGCAAAATCCCATGTGAACAACATTCCTAAAGAAAAGGACGTTACTACTTATAATTACATTATTAAATGAGTAAAAACTTAAAAAGTTACTTATCGATTGTGTTTTTAGCCGTAAATCCCTGTACTGGAATAAACGATAGCTCCATTGACTTTCAACTAGACCACAATATTCAGTTGCTCTTTGACGAAAGGGCAGATGGCAGAAAATAAGTGCATGTCCCTCAAGCTAGACAAAGTTGTATAGCATTAAGCCAATTGCTTAGCCAACTTGGCTTTACAAAAAAAAGTAAATATTTCAGTATTTGGGATTGGGATGAAAATAAAAGTTGGTTTTGTCTGTAGTCAAAACCTATTTTTTCTGCTATTAAGAGGAATAATTTAAAAAATAATAATTGTTCATATGGGACAAAGTAAATTGTAAAGTCACAAATCATACAGTCCTCTTCAAATCTGTTAACCCAATCTATTTAGAAATCTAGTGGTAAATAGGCTCTGCGGCTGCCAAGGCCTCACGTTTAGCAGTTAGGCTCCTGCTGTAGGCGTACTAGAAATCGTGTTTTGTGTTTGAACATTGCGGCTGCAACAGGCAGTGCAAGAACCTATGTTTTCATGCTTTGGTAACTAGGCTCGTAGCTGCTGTAGGCAGTGCAGGGTATTCGACCTGGAAATTTTATTCTATTTTTTCGTGAGTAAGGAACTTCTTTTACACCGATTTCATAAGCAGTTGGTCCAAATAATCGAACATTTAATTTTGTATTTTCAGTAATAATTTCTTCCAATAAGTTAGCGACTTCATTGTGCATATTGGAATAAAAAATATTGAGGTCATTATATTCTCCTTTTATTTTATCTCTCGCTATATCTATATCTTGCTGAATTTCGAGGATTCTATTGTAAATTTGCTCATCTGGATCAGTTTCATTGTTATAATCTAAGTTTTCGTATTGAACCTATAGACCATGTAAACTTATGAGATTTAAAACATTTGAAAATGATGCACTATTTTTTTTTATCACGTACCTTAATGTTTTCTGAAGGTGCATCTATCGGATCAACCTTTTCAACATTAACTTTTCTGTCTACACTTATTTTATTGGATTGATCTTCAGAATCGAAAGATGTGCTTGGTAGTAAAATTTTATTCAATGGGACATTATGAAATGTGTTACCAAAATCTATTCTTCTCGTCAAAGCGGGCCTGAGAATATTACGATAAGCATTCATCTTAGAATAAATTTTTGGAAATTTAGAAATATCGCTAATCTGGTTTCTATGTTCATATTCAGTGGTGAAGGTTGGGAGTTGGGATTTATTTGATACTTTAACGTTAAAAGTATTGTTATGGGCTTCTTTTGATATTTTTTGTTTTATAAATTGTTTAGTATTATTTTGATAGGCTATTCCAATCTGATATAAGTGGCGATTGAATCCAGTAAAAAAGGAAGCAATGATTTCCTCAGCGAAAAAGAGCCGAAATGGCCGTACTAAAGTTGGTTTCAATGACCATTCTATAATTTTTTTACTGCTCGCAGGCTTATCCTTTGGGTTGAAAGAATTAAAATGCATTGTATCCTTATTATTCAGATAAGTTTCTTGGTTTCGGATTGCTACTTTTGAATGAAAGGATTTTTCATCAACATGCGCAACCGTGCCATTTTTTAAATCTTGCACTTGTTCTTTGTTTCTTTCTGAGCAAGATTTATAAATATGTTTCTTATTTAGAGTTGGTAAAATTGCTTTATAAGATTGGAAATAAAATTGAATAGA